TTATTGTGCTGGGGTCAAGCTGCAGGGACAAATGAGCATGTACATGAGTCGCTACGACAGCCTTAGTTAACGGGCTATGGCAGCCAAACACGGAGTGTTGTTGGCATTTCCTAGCAACCATGATCATTTTGTAGACAATCCCAAGTTTCATGGGAATGCTGGCAGAGGCCAGGGTAGAGGGGAGATGTTGGACTATAAAAGGAGACAGATTTAAGTGCTCAGGTGCAGAAAGGAAGACAAAAATCTATTCAAGAGCAGAAGCAGCAAGATCTGGAAGGGTGGAGAAGGCAGCCCTCTCTACTCTGCCAGGCTTTTGTGTGTATTTAAATCCTTCCCAGTAAAGTTCATAATGAATTTAATTCAGTCTCCTATGGCCCAGAGGAATGTTCTGAGTAATAAAAAAGTATTGCTAGGGGATAGATGACTGCCAAACTCCCATTTGGTGCCAGAAATGCATAGTTCTATTATTGGTGCTTAAACGCTAGGTTTATTTTACTACATAAGTGATCCTTTGTCACATAGTAAGAATTGATACTGAAAGATACACTTTTGGGAAGTTACAGTAACAATTCCCAAATTCAAATCATTGTTAAATTGGTATGATTTGTTTTTAAGGAGTTTTGGGGTGGGTTTTTTTTTCAGATTAAGGTAATGGTCAAACGTGGTGGTTCCTGTTCTGGGTAAGCTGTTTCGTGGCTGGTTTACGGCTTAGCTTTTTGAAGTGGTTTTAGTCAAGGATCTTTTCATGTCTGTCTATTTTTTTGGTACCTTGAAATACCTATATCAATGTTAAATGAATTGTAAGCTCAAACACTTACTTACAGGTTGAGCTATATTCAGTTACACATAGTCAGCTAGGGTATGGTGTATGGGCTAATGGACTTTTGATGATTAAACCAAGAGATTCAAGTGTATGTTGGAAATTTCAGGCACCAGTGATGGAGGTCACTGGACCACAGCATTACTTTGTTTATAAACATCAGTATTCCATGGAAGATAAATCTTTGTTCTCATCTAGTGTGTCACTTCAGTGCAGTGATCAGGAAAATGAGGAAAAAGAACAGAGCTGCTAATTTTTTTCACCTTGATAAGAGCTAGAGGAAGGGAAGGGTGGATATGAGATGAAACGAGAGAATTTAGCTCCTAGCAGGCAGCAAGCTCAAGGGAAAAATGGATCAGTCCTGGTGTAAGAGGCAGTTTGGTTTACTTTCAAGCTGATACAATGTAGTTTAAGCGTCTTCTGCACTTTACAGTACAACGCAAAGTTCTATGGCCTGTGTACAAGTTCAAATTGATGGCATCAATAATGCAGTCAAAATATTTCATATGCTAAGGTCTGAACAGAAAGCTTTTCTGATGGGCTCTGCTGCTGCACTTCAGTTTACTTCATACCTCCACGTCAAGTGTGACCAGTTGGAAAAAATCTTGTGAATTTGTCAGTGTGTTTATTTACCCGGTGCATCATCTCCTTTGAATCCACAAGCATTTTTTTCAAGCATAAAAATGAACAGTTATCACCCCTGGAAAACAACAAAGTTTTACAGCCTTCTTCTCCCACCCCCCAAAAGACTCACCTCACTGCACTGCAAACGGGCACAAGCAGCTCATTTTTCACTTGCCGTACACACAGCAAATACTCAGCTCCCCAGAACAAAAGTGACTGAAGAAGATGAGGGGAAATCTTAAGCATTTGGCATTTTGAACTAGAAAGAAAAGTCAATGGCAAAGAATTCAGATACAAGCAAAAAGTCAGACATCTTGGAGCAGTGCTTTTGAGGTTTAAAACTGAATACACACATTGTTTGCTTACAGTTTTTCACAGCAGTATTCATAATTTAGGAAACTATTAAACAGCACAATGAAGTGTCCTGTTCCTTACTAAGAACCACAAAGTCATACTGTAGAGCTTATTTTCTTTTCCCTTGAAAGAAATCATCTGGTAAAATTTGTCAAGAATCCTGCAGACCTGAGTTTATGGGCTTTGCGTTTCAGTTGCACAGGAGAAAAAGCCACAGCAGACCAGTACCATCGTTTTGCTGCCTTTTCGTAAGGCCCGTCACAAGTCGCAGCTCGGGGCTCCTTATTTTCTGTTGGTCTGTACTGGGACTGCTATCCCTGTATTGGTTGTGCTGACAGCAGATGAAATTTGCAGGCCTAATACAAAATTCAGATCAGCTTTTGACAGAGACACAATGGGTACTGACAAGTGAGGCAAGAAGGCAGGGAAAAGTAGGGCAGGGAAGCAAAGGTGCCTCGGATTGTATAGGAGTGGAATGAGAATAGAGACAAAGGTGAGTTACGGTAATTAGAGAACAGAAAATGGCAAAGTATGTATCTACATACATTTGTATCTACATACATTTGTCGCTTGCCTACTACGAACAGCCTTGCAGGGCTCTTACCTAGTGCTGTAAGTCTACAATATGCAAAAATCCCATCCTACCAAAGTTATTGTGACATTAAGTGATTACGGAAGCAGATGATCAAAAAGACAATTTTTATTTGGTAGCTTATTCAGTGAGATCATAAATTTGTTAATTATACCTTTCATTAACACAATTAATTAAAAAGAAGACATTTCATACCTTTTATTTGCTCAGGGGTGGTGGAGGAGAGAACTTGGACATACCTGTTTAAGCCCTAGCAGTTTTAAAGTTAGGAAAAATCTTTCTTCTCTTGTCTGCCTCCCTTCCCCATTACGTTCATGTCTTTCCCCTTGCAAAGAGCAATTTTCCTGGCTTGGAAAATCAGCATGCACGATTTCAAAACTGTGTTCCTACAGTGCTCTGTTCAATGGTGCATTCTACAGCAAGCTCTTTGATGGGGGCAATCTGACTTAGTCTAGACACGTAAGAATTAAATGCTTCTGTGCTTCTGTTGGGAGAAGAAGTTAGATGTTGGAGATTAACAGTATCACCAAAGCCTACTGGAAATGACAACGGTGCACCATCAGGATACTCTCTACTGCTTTGTGCCTCTGCAGCGGGGAAGTCAACCTGCAACTTCTGCTCCCTCCCAGTGTTCACATAAGGCACATTTCCTGCAAAGAGAAAAACAAAGCAAAACCAGTAATCCGGTGGTGTAAGGTGTTTCAGAAGTAATGCTTGGGGGGGGAGCACTGAGAGGAATTGCTTTGTTACCTGTTATGTCATGCAAGATGTCAGGATTTCCAGTGCTTACATACACCAGAAGCGGCAGATGCCAGTGAGGATTGGAGTGCCTCCCCCTTGCTCCATCTCCTGCCCGGGAACAGAGCCTGCTCGAGGTCACCCACACCTTACTTAAGGGCTGCCCGTCTGAAGACAGCACCACCACTGCAGCCCTAGTGAAAACCAATCCACAGAGGCAGAGTTTTCAGACATCCAACACTTCCGTAACCCCCTTTTTAATGCCATTAGTGATGCAGCAACATGTATTTATACTTACATATAAATACAAAATGGTCAGATACCACATTTTAAACCATAATTTATAATCTGAAACTGCTTACACTTTCATGACTAGGCTTGGGTTTTTCTCATTTACATTCATAATTTAATTCCACTGGAATTTGATTTTAAGAAAGCCCAACAAATCTTAATTACCATAAAAAGATCCATACATATTTTGCTTAAAAATATCTTCTGTAAGAGGAAATTTACCAAAAATAACACGAAATATAGTATTATGCATACATTTTCTTTTTTTTTTTGCAAAGTACAAACAAGAATCTGATCTCTTCTGGGTATTGCCTGATCTAATATGGCTATAGCTTCTATTTATTTTGTTTGTTTTTCAAAGTAAAGGGAAAGACATAAGAAATGTGAGAACACAAACTAAAATAAAAATGCTTTCTGTTCAAAGATACAGGTATCAGTGAAAGAACACTTTGAAAACCAACAAATGACCACAGGTACAAATAAACATCAGCCAAGCAGTATGCACTCTTCTGTCAGAGCATGTGCTGCAGTGACCTTGTAACAGTTATTAAAAACAACAAACAAAAAAATGTTACTTGTAGAAAAAGCTGTCAAGCAAAACATTGAGAAATTGGTACCATTTCCTAATGAGTAAGTGCAGAACTGATACTTAGTGGTTTATGGTTTTTTCCTCCCATGTATGCACACCTCTTCCTCTCTCTGTTCGCAGGACTGATTATTGCAACTCTGGCCATATGCTGGATGCCAAACCAGGTTAGAAGGATTATGGCTGCTGCTAAACCAAAGCAGGACTGGACTGTCCCTTACTTCAGAGCGTACATCACTCTTCTTCCCATTGCCGATATCTTCTTCTACCTCAGCTCGGTGGTGAACCCCCTCCTGTACAACATCTCTTCTCAGCAGTTCCGCAGCGTGTTCCTGCAGGTCCTTCGCTGCCGCCTGACCATACAGCATGCCAACAAGGAGAAGTTTCTCAGAGCAAACCAGAGCTCCAGAGCAAGGAGCAGCCGGTCTCTGCGCCCACTGCTCTTCATGTCATCTAGGCACAATTCTTCTACGAGGAGCAATAATAAAGTTTTCTTAAGTACTTTTCAGAATGAGACCAAGCCTGACTGCAGTCCACAAGAACCAGGACCTGAACCACAGCAGCCCATCTTGGAAGGAGTGCCCCTAGAGACTAGCTCAGACCCCATCCCAGACACACCAAACGGCCTTTGTGAACATCAAGTATGACTTCATAAGGCAAAGTTAACGATTAGCAATGAACTTAAAAACATGGAAATCAAAATGACCAAGGAATTAACTACATCTTAAAAGGAATAACACAGGTGGGTTTGTTTCCAGTTACGCAAGAAGAGCAGAGTTCTGTATCCTGCTGCTGGGACTTTAAGTGCACACTCGAAATTCAATCTGCTAACTGAATTCATTAGCTGCCAAAAATACCAGCCCCTTTCTCCCCACAACTACTGAACTTCCCTCTTTGTTGACAGGGATTTGGAAACAAACAGAAAATAACTGCAGTGTCTGAAGAAAGGAGGAGACAGAACAAACTGTGTCAAGGCAAAAAAACTTGCTTGAAGTTTAGCAATACAAAACCCACAGAGCCAATGTAAGGAGCAGAACAGTGGTTATCACGTGTGCCCTCAGCACCACGCCAGAATTCCCCCTCTTCTTCGGCCGGGGTCCATTGCAGAGTGGAGTGTTGCAGCAGCTGATACAAACAGAGTTCACCTTCCCTGGAGAACAAAAGGACTGGTACCCAGCAGAGGCTATCAGACACGCTGCTGAAGAGGCGCAGGATTTGCGATACATGATTCCTGTGACACAGAGCAAAGGTTACTTAGTTTGATATGAACATGGTTTTGCTTTACAACACGATTCATGCTTGAAAACTGTTGTGGAACCTGTTTACATTTCCAAAGCCATGCTGGTGATTTGAGCCAGAGCCCTCAGCTGTGACATGGCTAACAGCTCTGCACTGCAGGAGAAGCACAGCCGTTCTGCTTTGGATTTTCCTTTGATTCTGGTCAGAACCAAAGCTGTTAGACTCAAATGATACATTCTTATAACCAGAATTCCCATCTTTTGGAATAAATTGCTGGAATAGCTGTAATTGAAATGCAGTTAGTTTCGAAATGGCTTTTGTTCCTGTTGCTGAACAAGTCTGAGTTAAGGTGTCTAATTACAGTTTTCTATGCTGTTAATTTGTCTTTTGAGCATCTTTTTTTCCTTTTCTTGTTCCTTCGCCTCACACAGACAAGTAACCAAGAGTAAAAGGAGAATGACTATCAGCAAAACTTCACACCCTCACCCCCTTTTATTCTTTTAAAGAAAAACTAGAAATACTTTTCTAGGTAATCTCAGTTCTTGCTGTCTTTGAAGCTTAATACCCTCAACAACAAAAATTTCCCTTTGTACAGAAATGGCTTTTCTGAGTTGAAAGTCTACCCTTTTAGAATGTAATTTAAATTAATCTAATTTTAATTCATAATCTAATTAAATTTATATTCTATCAAATTGTTTTTACCTGAAAATGTACATTCTGATGCACATAGCTGTTATTTTAAAATGGTTCATAAAGGTTTTAAAATACATAGTTGCATTTTCCCCTGACACTGGAAAATGGCTGTGGCAGTTCTACATCTCATTGCTGTAACATTTTCCTGCAAGTGATACAGTAGAAATTGTGTGTTGGAAAAACATATACATAACACATAAATAGATAATGGAGGTTTGCTCAGATTGCCTTCTGGTTACAAAAAGAGGTAAATATTCCTCAGGATAATAAAATCATGATTCCTTTTGAATACGGGAGTCTCAAAAGTTTTTTTTCTGGTGGATGAAGTGCTAAGCCATTATCCATCACGTCTGAGAAGCTGTGGCAGTCTGGTGGAGCTCCCACAGAGTGGAAAAGGGGAAATATAACCCACATTTTTAAAAAGGAAAAAAGAAGACCCAGGGAACTACAGGCCAGTCAGTCTCACCTCTGTGCCCAGCAAGGTCATGGAGCAGATCCTGCTGGAAACTATGCTAAGGTACATGGAAATAAGGAGGTGGTTAGTGACAGCCAACATGGCTTCACTAAGGGCAAATCATGCCTGATGAATTTGGTGGCCTTCTGAGATGGGGTTACAGCACTGGTAGCTAAGGAAAGAGCAACTATCATCATCTACCTGGACTTAGGCAAAGTGTTTGACACTGTTCCCCACATCATTCTCACCTCTGAATTGGAGAGACATGGATTTGACAAATGGGCCACTTGGTGGATAAGGAATTGGCTGGGTGGTCACAATCAAGAGTTGAGGTCAACAGCTCGATGACCAAGTGGAGACCAGTGACGAGTGGTGTTCGTCAGGGGTTGATATTGGGACTGGCACTGTTTAGCATCTTTGTCAGTGACATGGACAGCGTGATTGAGTGCACCCTCAGCAAGCTTGCCAACAACACCAAACTGTGGTGCAGTCCACCTGCTGGAGGGAAGGGATGCCATCCAGAGGGACCTTGACAGGCTCAAGAGGTGGGCCCATGCAAACCTCATGAAGTTCAATAAAGCCAAATGCAAAGTCCTACACCTGGGCCAGGGCAGTCCCAAGCACAAATACAGGCTGGGTGGAGACTGGATTGAGAGCAGCCCTAATGAGACGACTTGGAGGTGTTGAATGACAAGAAGGTCAACATGACCCAGCAGGGTATGCCCGCAGCCCAGAAAGCCAACCATATGCTGGGCTGCATCAAAAGGAACATGGTCAGAGCGTGGCCCCTCTACTCTGTTTTCACGGGACCCCCCCCTGCAGTTCTGTGTCCAGCTCTGGGGCCTCCAACATAAGAAGGACATGGATCTGCTGGACCGAGTCAAAAGGAGTCCATGAAGATGATCAGAAGGCTGGAGCACCTCTCCTGTGAAGACAGGCTGAGAGAGTTGGTATTGTTCAGCCTGGAGAAGAGAAAGTTCCAGGGATACCTTAGAGCAGCTTCCAGTACCTAAAAGAGATGACAAGAAAGCTGGAGAGAGACTTTTTACAAGAGCTTTGTACCAAAATGAATGGCTTTGATCTGAAAGAGGGTAGATTCGGATTAGTAAAAAACTTCCTACTACCTGTGAGGGTGGTGAGGCACTGGAACTGGTTTCCCAGAGAAGTTGTGGGTGCCCCATCCCTGGAAGTGTTCAAGGCCAGGCTGGATGGGGCTTGGGGCAACCTGGCCTAGTGGAAGGTGTCCCTGCCTCTGGCAGGGGGGTTGGACCTTTAAGGTCCCTTCTAATCCAAACCATTATCTAATTCACCTGAAGAGCATAGGACAGGATTCCCTTGGAGACCAGCGCCTCTGCATCCTGGAGCATGGTTCCAGAATGTTTTTAAATGCACAATGACTCAGACTTTTTTCACAGGAGTGAAGCAGAAATATGACCCACAGGTACTGAATTCACAGTACTTGCAGATACTGGTTCAGTCCCTGGGGACTTTGGAAATAAGCACTACCGCACTGCACAGTCCAGTAGAGACCTCTGAAGTAGCAACTGCCACTGTGCTACTAAATGCTGTGTATAGCAGCAAAACACCATTTGTTTGGGTTATGCTCAGGAAGAAGGATTTCCCGTCTTCAGAGAATTTTAATTAAAGCAATTCTTCTACGCTGTCGCCACATTGCTGCCATCCCAGCAATGCAGGGGTTTCCCTGTTTTCTGTTCTCCCTCTGCAAATCTAAACTCTGAAACATGTTTTAAGGCTATCTATCTAGTTACACTTATGAAGAGAAGCCCTCAAGTCAGTGTTAAATCTTTCTCTGTCTCCAGTGAACTTCAATCAATCAATGCAATGCGGCAGGTACAGCCTTTTCTCAAGAAGGAAGAGGAGCTAGAGGCTGTTCTAGCTGTAACAGTGAAGGTGCACAGATTGAGAGGTACAATCTTTTTTTTACTACAGTTTGCAAAAAGAAGGGAGCTGTGTCACTGTTGGCAAACCACTTCTGTCAAGGAGCCTCGACTGCGCTGTCACCAATTGGTTTCCAACACTAAAATCTCAGCTGGTGCTTCCCACAAAGACATGGCGCTTTGTCCATGTTCCTCCTGCAGTCTTCAGGAGTTGAGGCAGCCGTGACTCTTCCCATAGCTATGATTATTTTTTTTCCTTCCCCTTCCATTTTCCAAAAGGAATCCTGTGTTCAATGGAATTAGGCACAGAGATTGTTCTCCCATCTCTAATCTTGCATCTCTTCATCTCATACTCATTCGCTTCACCTACAGCCACCCAAACTCAGCTGCTCCTCAGTCTTCCATATGAACATCAATGAATCAACTTTTCCCGCAAGGACCAAGCCTCTAAAAAGCTTTTGACATCGGCAATTTCCTATTCCTGTTGTTTTATAGATCACTCTCTTCCTGCCATTTCCTTTTCACAGGATTCCCACAAAGCCTTGTTCTCAATTCAAACTATCATATATTTTGCACTTTTCCCTGTAGATGAGGAGACTGGAACGGTTCTGTGCTGTGAACAATTAGATAATGCCCTCTGAGGCATGGTTTTCAACAGGCAACTCTAGGAGATCTCTCTTAAAAAAAAAAAAAATCAAGTCCTGCAGCTTAACTGCATATGTTTACAACAGCTCTGTTCTCCAGGAGAAATTCCACAGGACAATCCCGAGCTCCTTGTGAAGGCAAAACACAGTATTCCTGCACAGATTGAAATTTTACGACTCAAAGTTTCTTGCACCATTGGACCATGTTCATGCCTGAAAAAAGAGAATAATCTAACTACGAGTAAAATCCCACTGTAACACTCCTCCTGTGGCTTTTCTGTAAATATGTCTTACAACAGGCAATTCCACTCCCAAATGATTGTTTATTCTCTTTCCCAGCTTTAGTAATCACAATTATAACAAGATTCTTTACATAATTAAAAGAGTCAGCACTTCTGTCAGCTTTTCAATACCTACTTGCCTAAAGACATGCCCTTCACATCCATGTTTCTTTAAGTACCTATAAGATTCTTTAGAGCTCGCAAATCAGCTGCTATCATACACTAACTGTACTTCTCACGAAGCATCAGCTATGAACTAAACTCGATCAGCACAGAAAAGCTGTGCTTCTCTCTAAATCTGCAGTATCCTTATAGCAAGATACAATGAAAACAGGCATGAAAAAAGAGAATGTTAGCACTACAGGAGTGACATTTAAAAAATGCTTCAGCCATGACTTCACTTTTTTTTTTAACTATGAGTGTGAAAAAGCAATGAACTTCAAATAATACGAATTAAAGAAAGGCAGGAAAAATGCTCTTAAACCTTTTTTCCTATCATATTGTGATTCCAGTTTAATTGTGATAGGAAACAAATTAGTACAACTGACTTCCATGGTATGATGCCAGGGACACTAGTCTCCTTGCTCCAGCAGACAGGTTAATGTACCGCAGCTCACCCACTGATTTCAGACGGGACAACAGCAATGTTTCCGGATTATCCCTAGAGATTTTTCCTCCAACTCCTCTCTTGCAGTGGTTTGTTGTACTGTTAAGCCAGCTCTGAAACTATCTCTGAAATCTTCCTGAAACATGTGCCATCAGCAGGCTGAACTGCAGACAGTTTTTCAAAGTGGTTATCTGCCTCGTAAGACTCATATCACAGACATAACTGCTAATTGCTGGATATTCTTGCTTGAGCAATCAGCTTGATACATTCATTAACACATCACCTGGAAATACTAGTGCTAACCTTTCTGGGAGCTTTCTTCTACCTCAAGATTTTTCCGAGTTGCTGGCTAGGCAAGGAGACTGCATGTTTTACACTCTGCTTTTACTGGGATGGGGTCATTCCCAGTGACCTA